CCCCCCCCCAGAGGACCTCAAAGGCTGCACAGGCCCTGCCCCAAGCCCCCAAAAGAGGAACTCCCCTGGAGGGATTGTGGTGGCCGTCTCCGAGAAGGAGCTCAGCCTGGTACCTGTGCTGTCCCCTACACGACAATGTCCAGGCCTAAGCTGCTCCGGTGACCCTGTCCTCAGGCCACCACCTATGGGAGGAAAGCTACCAGAATGCCTATAGGGCAGAGGACAGGTACCTGTCCCTTTGCTGCTTGCTAGCGGCCTGCTAGGGCTCTGAAGTTTTCTCAGATATTTGGGGAAGGGGCCAGTGTTGGGTCTCAAGCTCTCAGTCTGCTGGAAGGAAGGGAACTGTGCAGAGGGTGGAAGTTGTAGGTTGGGCTGGAGAGAACTTTTGATAAGCCCTGGCCCTTCCTGCTTCCCACCTTTTTGCCAAACACTTTTGGTCCCCGAAGGCTGCTAAGGGGGCTTATCCTGGGCCCAGCCTGTTCCCTCTTGCTGCAGGTTCCTTGCCTGTGTATGTCCTGCCCTTGGCAGCTGCTTCCTCACCCCATCCCACCTGGTCTAGCGTGGATATCCACCACCCAGCCCCCGGTCCTACATGCTGGAGATTTCTGGATCCTTCCCTGGGAGGGGGAGGTCTCCTAACCAGATTGGACAGGAGCCTTCATTCCTCGACTTGTGTCATTTGGGAGCTATTTATTTATTCTTAATATTTAATTTTTAACATCCTCTCAGGGACCAGGGGCCTCTTGCTTTCCAGAGGCCCAAGTGCATTTATCCCAAAATAAGGCACCTTCTTGGCATCCGCCCCCCCCCCCCCCCCCCCCCCATTCCTAAGACCCTAAGGTCCCTCACCTCATTGCTCTGGAAGCTGTTGCCAGTAGGAGTGATTAGTAGCACTGAAAGAGGGTGGAAAGGTGGAAGGTGTCACCAAAGCCACACAAAGACCAGCAGGAGCAAGGGAGATCAAAGGCAGTTCTTATTGCTACCTCTTCTCTGGCTGTATTTTCAGATTGCCTGAGGGGATTGACTGGAAGCCAGAATTCTAGTTCTGTTTCTAGTTTGAAGAAGCCATATTTGGCATGGAGTCACTGAAGTGAAGTGCTAGAAGGTTCCAGAGGCCTCCCTTGCCAGTCCCATAGAGGGCTGAGTTATTTTTCTGATCTTGCTACTCAAGTTTAGTTGTGTTAGAAGTTCTAAGTGAATGCAAGTATGTTGCAAGAATGCAGATCAGCATGTTAGGAAGGAGCCAAAAATTCTACTACTCTTCTTACAAGATAGCCTAAAGGCACCATGTTGGTAGCTAAGAGTGGGGAGGGAGTTTTGTTTCTAAACTATGCACTAACTGGTGTTTTTCAGCATTGATTTATGCATTAATATGGTTCTTCAGGACCCCAGATATGGGAGCAACATCTTTCTCCCCGCCAGACTCCAGGACCGCTACATCTTCAACTTCCCAGTTAGTTTCCTCCAAAGGCTTCTACAAACTCAATGTCCCAAGATCGCAGAAATCTGGTATACCCTCCAGAAATAGAAGGGTAGCAAATTTAGGCTGTCTGCTAAATCACTTATGTAATAAGAGTGCCTTCGCAGCTTTGCCCCAAAGTGCTACTTATGTTTCCCAAGGTTTTTTCTATTTAAATATAATTTAGTTTCAGGCCCCTCTGTGGACACATGGTAACAGGAACCTCCTTCGTTTAGAGTGATTCTCCTCTTCTAAGCTCATAGAAATCAGACTAGGTGAAATGTTGGTGGAGAAAATCAAGGTGGTACCTCTGTATTAATTCCACCAGACCCTGTATTTTAGAAGCGTTCATGCTCCAGGATGGATTTATATCTAGAATATAAGGTGAAAGTTAAAATGTTTAGAGGGCAGATGCAATTGTTCCAAGTGACCTGCCAATAAAGTAGGTGCAGCCATAGGAGCTGGGATAGGTATATCCTTTATGGTGCTTTCTCCCTGTGAACACATTAGGCTCGTCTTGTTTGTTTTTCTTCCTTTTTTCTTCTGTTCAGAGCTGTTTAAGAAGTTAAATGACAAACACCTCCAGCTTTATTATGCCCTCCCCACACCATTTCACATAGCCATTTTCCAGTCTCCATCTACACTTTGCTAAGGGCATGAAATTAACCTAGTGCCTGTGTTCCAGACCGTTTCTGAGGTCTCTTACCCACCCACGGAGTCTGTGCTTCAGTGCACTGGCCTCCATGCCTTCAGCAGCCCCCCTCACAGCTAAGGTACACCCTCATCCCTTCTGCCTCCCCACCTCCACCCCTGGCACAGAGGTCGTGTGCTGCTTATGTCTAAAAGAAATCCCCTATATTTAACTGCCTCAGTGACCTAACCTCTTTCTTCTCATGTGCCAGATGTTAAGATGAAGGAGGAATACAACACATACTCAAGCCTCAGCTGTTTAAATATATTTTCTCTGGGGCTCTCTTTTTTCGAACGGTATTTATTACCAGACTAGCAAGCCTAACTCCTTAGGTTTACAGGAAGTATGCATATTTTTATAAAACAATTGTATGTCCTCCCCATATTTTGCTGTGTTAATATTTGCCTCTAACAGTTTGCAGCTGTTTCACCTTTTCCTTGTTTGTCTCTAAGTTGAAGGCCTTGTTTGGAGGGGACAGCACAGGAACAGCCTTGACAGTCTGTAATTATTGTACAGATATTTTAATAGCATATAAATAAGTATATTCCTTTTATTTTGGGGAAAAAACATCAGACACTGCCTTTTGTGTGTTTGCTGCCTGTGGCACCCTTTTTTAAAGACTGTTACATATTAAAATAGTGTGTATATATATATATATATATATTACCTCTTTTGCTGTACAGTTGTGATAGACCAGACTGAAGATTTTATTTTTTGTGTGCTTTTTATAAAAAAAAAAAAATAACACACTAAAGTAAATCTTGCGGATGTGATTGTAATGTACCTATGTAACTTATTTACTTTTGAATGTTCTTCTGTATCTTTAAACCTTTTATTAAATAAGGTTTTAAAAATTCAGAGTTGAAGGCTGTGTTCTTTTGGGGAGATTTTCACCATCTGGGATCGACTAAGTAGGCCTTGTTTTGCTTGCAATGTATTACTTGACATCTGGAACCACAAGGATTCTCTTTTCATCAGGTCTTTGTCAGTGATGCCGGGAGAGGAAAAATAACACGCTAGTGTTTGCCTGTTTGCAAGGATGACTGAATAGACACAGATCTTTTTACATAACTTTTAGACAAGAAAAAGTCTCAACTCAGTGTCTCACACAAAAATATGTACACGGCACACTTCCAACGTGTTAGTTTCATTGACCTAAAGTATGGAGGGTGCAGAATGCCATCAGGTGGCACAGGGAAGTCGCGGGGCTAAAGATGGTATTTTCCTATGCAGCGGTAGGCCAAGTTTGCCTTGGATGCATTTTCAACAATATCACCTTAACTTCACTCCAGAATTGTATTACCTTTTAAACACGGTGCTTTGTTAGAAAAAAAAAAATCCGGAAAACGTGAAAAAGGAAACGCGCCATCAAAATAACGCCTGGAGACCCTCGCTAGCCCCTTGGCAACCGCTCGACCCCGAGAACCACAGGAACTCGAGGAACTCAGGTAGTCAAGGCCACCGTTGCCATGGTTACGCTCCGCCACGGGGGCGGGGCGGAAGCAGCTCACTGGGCCTGCCCCGCTCCCCACTGCGGCAGTAACGCCTTCGCGGGCTGCGGATCCCAGGACCTGGCAGCGGAGCTGCGCCACACCGCCGCAGCCCGCCGCAGCCGGCGCACCGCCACTCCTGCCCGCCCTTGCCTCGCTTCTCCGTCCTGCTGGCGCCTCCGCTGCCCGTGGCGTCGTTCCTCGGCCACCTCGCCGCCTGGAGCCATCACTAGGTCTGCAAAGAAGCCACTTGCGGACTGGCCCCGCCGCCGCGACCTCAGAACAATCTCTTCCTTCGGGGACTGCGCAGCCCTCGTCTGCAAAGCAGCCGCTCCTCGCCCAGCTGAAGGCCGGGCTCCGACCGCGAACGCCGGATCAACAGCGGGAGCAAGCAGCGGGTGCCCGACGCCCCAGCTGCCGAGAGGAAGCGGCCACGCCCCGCGACCACACCCCGGCGCCTCTTCAGCCCCGCGGCTCCAGGCTTCGCCACCCGCCGTCGCTCCTCGCCTTCTGCGCTGCGACACGACACCCTGCCTGCGGGTGGGAGACGCGGGCTGCAGACCCCGACCGGAGACGCAAGATGGCGGCGGACGCGTGACTGACTGCCAGAGCATCCCAGAGGCTTCGCTCGGAGAACCAGCCGAAGGACTGACTTTGCGGGGCAGCGAAAGGACAAGAGGAGGACTCTGGTGTCATTTGTTAATTGTGATCGCGTGAAGCTTGCCTCCCTCGGGCATATTGGGGGGAGTGTCTGCTGCTGTCCTAAGTCCCAGAGCACAGGGAGCCACAGTCTAATCCTTATTTGTAGAGTTGGGGCCCTTGACAGTTGGGAAAATGGCGATGACACTGTTGGAAGACTGGTGCAGGGGGATGGATGTGAACTCCCAGAGAGCCCTGCTGGTCTGGGGGATCCCAGTGAACTGTGATGAGGCTGAAATCGAAGAGACCCTCCAGGCTGCGATGCCCCAGGTGCCCTATCGAGTACTTGGGAGAATGTTTTGGAGGGAAGAGAATGCAAAAGCAGCCTTGTTAGAGCTCACTGGCGCTGTCGATTACGCCGCGATCCCCAGGGAGATGCCGGGTAAAGGAGGGGTCTGGAAAGTGGTCTTTAAACCCCCGACTTCCGATGCTGAATTTTTAGAAAGGCTGCACCTCTTCCTGGCGAGAGAGGGGTGGACCGTGCAAGATGTTGCCCGCGTCCTTGGGTTTCAGAACCCTGCTCCGGCCCCAGGCCCAGATATGCCGGCAGAGATGCTAAACTATATTTTGGATAATGTTATTCAGCCTCTTGTTGAGTCCATATGGTACAAGAAGCTGACGCTGTTCTCTGGGAGGGACATCCCGGGGCCGGGGGAGGAGACCTTTGATCCCTGGCTGGAACACACTAATGAGGTCATAGAGGAGTGGCAGGTGTCTGATGTAGAAAAGAGGCGGCGGTTGATGGAGAGTCTTAGAGGCCCTGCCGCTGATGTCATCCGCATCCTCAAGACTAACAACCCTGCAATAACCACTGCTGAATGCCTGAAGGCGCTTGAGCAGGTGTTTGGGAGCGTGGAGAGCTCTAGGGATGCGCAGGTCAGATTTCTCAACACTTACCAGAACCCGGGAGAAAAGTTATCTGCATATGTCATTCGACTGGAGCCTCTTCTGCAGAAGGTGGTGGAGAAGGGGGCTATAGATAAAGATAACGTGAACCAGGCCCGCCTGGAGCAGGTTATTGCCGGGGCCAACCACAGCGGGGCCATCCGAAGGCAGCTGTGGCTGACGGGGGCTGCGGAAGGGCCTGCCCCTAACCTCTTCCAGTTGCTGGTGCAGATCCGAGAGGAGGAGGCCAAGGAGGAGGAGGAGGAGGCTGAGGCCGCCCTCCTGCAGTTAGGCCTGGAGGGGCACTTCTGAGGCCCAGGAAACAGGCTGTACTGCAGATCTAGATCACAGCTGCTTTCCTTGTCTCCATGCTATCTTACAGGTGTCTCTTAGTAGTAAAGACTTAGCCATGTGCTGGGGGGGAGGGGGTTTGAGAGCAGGGAGGCAGCAGGCCTGGGTATTCATGTAACATTAGTACAATCGTGCAAATGAGCACCCTGAGCTACTTACTATAAGTGAGTCGTACCTAGCTGCAATGCCAGGTAAAGACTTGTGCACCAGTGCTCAGTGCAAGCTGTCGTTGTGGCAATCATGAGTTGTAAAACATGTGAATTTGTGACACTTCCCATTGAGGTAATTAAGTGTGAAATTGCATGTTCTGATGTTTAGCGCAGAACCTGGCAAACACAAAAAGTGTTCAGTAAAAATGATGAGCCGTTATTACTAATATCGTGAATAGTTCTGTGTTCACAGTAAATTGTTCCTAATTTATATTAATGGAAAGAAATGTGACTTAATTAGATACTACTAGTTATTCAACCATACAAAGCAAATTTCTTATTTTTCATCTTGAAACGTCTGGATCAGTTTAATTGACAAGTGTTCTGAGACTATGGAATGGGGTGTTAGGAAACAATTCTAGAACTGCGTGAATCAATTTTTCCCTGTACAAGATACAAACTGCATGGGAAGGTTATAAAGAACCAGTTACAGTATCTAGTTCCCCACTTCAAGTCTGTCATTGAATAGTAGTTCTTGTTCATGCTGATTCTAAGTGTTCTAAATTTCAAGTTATCAAAATACATGTATATGAATAAAAATATTTTAAAAATTCTATTGTCTTGTTTTTTGACACATATACAAAATTTAAGTGTAATTAAGCTCTATGTTCTCTTAGGAAGACTTCCCCATGCTGCTAAGAAAATCAGACTTCAATGATTTTATCTTTAAACTTCATGTCATACTATGCGAGTTTAAATTGCAGAACCTTTTGGTATTTTCAACTTTTGCATGTTTTCTACAAGGCAAGTGTTAGAAGGCTAAAAAGACCTACGTAAATATTAACTTACTGTAAAATGTTAGAAAATCCTGAAATGGGGCTCAGGATGTCATCTAGCAATGCTTTCTCTCCCCTTTCTAAATCCTTTTTCAGCTAAAGGTGTTTATTTTGCTGAGGAATAATTCCTCAGCTTAAAATGAAGGTTTCAGATTTATAGCAGCCATTTGATATCAAGAGGGTACAAATAGGGAAACAGTTTAAAAACATGTTTGACTTCAGAGCTTTAGTGACCAAAGGTGTCTTGAGATCCTAGTAAATCCAGAAGTGGTTACATGAGCATAAGAGTTCAGTGGGGTTTTCCCCTAGTAACAAGGCTTTAAAATTACAGCCAACCTATTTGACAATCATCAGGTAAAAATTTATTTATAAAGGCTACTACTGGTGTACATTCAAACATTTTTCTGTACACTCATGTCATCTGTTCCACCCTCACACGCTTAACACACACATCTCCAAATGTTTGATTCTCAACAACAGATACGCAAGTCTTTGCTTCCCCCAGTAAACATGTCCTCATTCCTCTACTCCCCAACTCACATAGCTTCCCTCTCCATCGCCATTGGCATGACAGCATGGCACCGGGTACACGCCCCCCTCACTTCTCAGACTCTTATCTGTACACATTCACTCCCACCTTCCCCCTGACACTCTCATAAACACACTCCCTCCTCCCACCACACGCGCACATGCACACACACGCAGACCCACACGGACACAAACACACACACTACAGCAGTCTCCCATCCCAACCATACAATCCTGTTTCTCCACACATGCTCCCACTGCCACCTCACACCAGCCAGCCACATATACACACACATTCTCACTCCACGCAAGTTACGTTCATAACGAAAATAGTGGGTTTCTCTCACCCGATGTCAGAGGCCTCCTTCAATGTCTGTACATAGAGATCTACCTTCTTATAGCTGCAGAACTGCATTTTAGGAAGGAGGGTTATCACTTCAGATTCTTTTATTCTATGTAACGGTTATATATCGACATATACTTACATATGTATTTGATTACATATATATGGTACACATGTAAGGATTCTAGATGTCCATCCTTTATTCTAGAAAACTAAAAATAATGAGCTATTTCTTATCTGAATTAAGGGTTTCTCTTTATAAAAGGCTCAAAAATTAAAATCTGCTTTTTAAAGGAGGACAGCAGCAAGAAACATCCTTAGAACCAAAGAACTGTGGAATAAACAAGTAGAAACTGCACCACAGTCCCATTCTGAGGCCAAAATTATATTTGGTTGATAGCACAGAATATGTGCTGAGACAATGTGTAATGTTACAGCTGTTACTAGGCTATCTTGTTTCTTGTGGATCAAAAAGGGGCTGGCCAGTGTCAGGTTATTCCAGACCACAAATCAGGGGCCTATCAATCAACCTTAAACTCGTATACTACCAGTAAGGAGAGGACTAGGAATAGTCCTTCCGGTTCCGGGAAGGATCCCAATCATTTGGAATGGTGCCCAGAGGCCTTCTAGTGAAGACTTACAAACCTGGAAGAGGAGATTATCACTGGTAGTGAACTACAGGGGGAAAAAATGGCATAAAGAAATGAGTCAGGCTCTCTCCCTGTCTCATACACACTCACACAAGCTGTGTCGAATGTTTGATCTAAAGGCCAAATTTCTTCAGAATTGAATGTGATTGGAAGTGCACATGGTTGCTCTATACTAGCTAAAGCTAATGGCCACATAACCAAAAAAAGATACGAATTAATTTTTTTTAGAAAATAACACAATTTATTACTATTTTAAAACAAGTTTCACAAAATAACATTCAGAAACTCAACATTTCTAAATAAGTTAACACAATAAGTTTAGTCATAAAGTCATGCTACAAAATTCCTGCATATAAAAGATTATTATCAAAGTATTAATAGATGTTAAAATGTTCTTTAGAATGGAGTTGGTTCTAGAAGCCAAAGATTCTGGAATGATGCTCGTTATCATGACTGACACCCTGGGAGAAGCAGCTAGCTGTATGTATATTCTCTACCACCAGTCTTTTGATGGGATTGATCCCTCCAGGCAATAGCACCTCAGAGGCAGGTATCCTGCAGATCAAAGAAGCAAAGAACTTCCCACCCTTGTCACATTAGCCACAGCTTAATTTAACCAACATCTAAATTAACTGTTAAAATCTAGACGTGGGAAAGATAACTAACGCACAAAGTTTCTATTCTGAGAAAGAGAATTCTACATGACACGTTCCCCAGAGGGATGACTGTCAATGTAGCAGACATGGAAGATGACAAAAAGGAGGGAAATAGGGAAATCCAGACTCTGATTATGTCAACAGACAACTATTGCTCAGGTTGGCTTAGAACGAGCAAGGATAAGTCTGATTCTCTAATATCCACATGCAGGCTAGGTATTTACCTATCTGCCCTTTGGGAGTCCTGTCTACCAACATCCAGTTCATAATTTTAAAGTGCAAATCTATGGCAAAATAGTTTACTCTCCCCCATCCCCTTGTTAAATTTGCTAGATCATAATTTGGTTGGCTGGTTCCCCTCTAATCTGCCCAATATGGGAAGTAACTAGAATCCAGTTATGACTTCTCCAAGTGGCAAGTGAAAATGTTTCTTAGGTTAGAAAAAAGTAAGACTCAGTCTCATTTTGACTTTCAGTTTTCTTCCTTTGCAGTCAGTTATAAAAAGGTAGCAACAGAGATTTCGATGTGGGATTTCTAAAAGTTCAGTGATTTTTTTAAGACATACTCTATTTTTTTTATTGCACCTATTTTATGGTTTTATGAAAAAACAAAAACCAAAACCAAAACCTTATGCTAGAGTGAGGATAAAGGAATATGGTCAAGTTAGCTGTGTCAGAAGCACCAACTCTGCTACACTGAAACGTGTTTTATATTTAATTATTCACAGACATATTAAGCAGCCTAAATAAAGAAAACATGTGCCGAAGGGATTAATTTCAGTTAAAAGATAACTTTCAGTTCAGCAGTTAGTTTTCTCCCTTTACCAACAATTACAATGTAAGGTCCTCACAAACTGACAAACTGCAGTTAAAGAGACACTACTCGTGATCAATACTTTGACACTCCCCACCCCCCAACACACCAATTTTTAAAAGTTAATGATTAAGTCCAACCTTCCTAGACCCTACACTTTTTCCATTAGTCCTAAGAAAAACCCAGGTGGAAGATTCTTGGTCACAGAGATAACTACCTTCAACTCCACTTACACATCACCAATTCTGAGAATAAGTCAACAGTTAAGATTCATTTTTTATTCCTCCTTACTCTACTTCAGACCACTGGTAAAAGAAGAATCTATTCAAGTCAAAATTCTTTTTCCACACAAGAACCACATTTAAGTGTCTAATAACCATACCAAGTAATACCAAGTTAATGACCAATTATCATGACATCCTTCTGATCACATCCAAAATTGGTGTCTACACCAGCTAACTTTCACATATGATTACCAAATTTTTCCAAATTTTATACAATATTTTTCTGTATTTAATGACTGCTAGAGTCTGGAAAATCTATGCATTAGTGGACAATGAACAAACATTTAAAGAATGATCCATTTTCTAAAAGTACACTCAAAATGTTCAAAGATAAAGCAAAATCTATCATAAAGTTGAATTCTGTTATAGTAAGAGAGAGGTAGGTTAACAATCACTGTCCTAAGATAAGCAGGAATACTAAGAAATAAAAGTTGAGACCCTGCTGAAAAACGTAAGTTGAACCTTCCAGCCCTGAGTTTCTAATGTTATATGACAATTATTAAAATGAGCATTACAAAAAAGCAAAACACCAATGACCATTTTCCTTCCATCCATAATTATTAAATACATCACCTTCTCTCATACAACAACTCAGGAGGCATATATGGCTAGAGTGAAAATAAATGCACCTGGACAAAAGGAATGTTAGTATAAAGCACTGGTTCTTAACCAGGGACAAATCTGTTCCTACCCCACTGCCAGAGGGGACAGATGGTAATGTCTGAAGACATTTTTGGTTGTCAGAATGAAACTGGGGATTCTACTGGTATCTAGTGAGTAGAAGCCAGAGATAGTGCTAAACATCCTATAACACACAGGATAACATTATCCAACCCAAAATGGTAATAGTGCCAACACTGAGAAACTCTGGTCTAAAGGAACAAACTCCTATGAACACAGAACACAAAAACCTTTCAAGGCCTGACCAGGTAATCTAGCCATAAACTTACAGTTAGGGAACACAGAAAAGTTGAATTCCTTTGCAGACTAAAATCAAGTTACCTGTGGAAAATTAAAATACTGGATGGATTCCAGAGCTCTACCATCATTACAAGAATAGAAAAAATTTAGATGAGCCACTAAAATGGCATAATGCTTTAAACCAAGAGCACAGAGAGAATCCATCCCAATCTCTGAGAACTATCAGTGATTTAAAAATATTAAGAAACAAGGAGAAGCAGAGAAAATGTTTCTATATTATAGAATTCAGAAAACCAAATGCCAACACCATAAGCCATTTTAAGATTCAATATGAAGTTATTCATTCCCTATTATATTCACTTCCAGAGTAACTTTTAGAAAATATATCCATACATAGCAAAATGGCTTCAAGCTTTCCTACTGGATGACATGCAAACTACAAGTGAAGAAGATCATCTTCCCTCCTAGTTTTGAAGATTTAAACATCACCAAGGGGAATACTCATTGCCTACAGTTCACAAGAGAAATACCCAAAGGCTTTGAATGTGTAAGCCAGAGTAAAGATTTCTTCCTATCAGATTATAAGGAAGAACTAAAAGGATGCAAAAAGTGTTGGACTAATTTTTCCTCTTGCTGTTTGTATTCAGAATTGATTGTCAAAGCAGTGGTCCCTTTAGATCAGAGTGACTCAGAGAAATCATGTAATTCCTACTTAAATGATAGCTGAAAATTTCTGAAGCCCAGGGGTATTTATGCAATCACTTAAAACAAACCAAAACGACACTCCCCTCTTTGACTGGTTTTACACAAGTAAATGGGGAAATAAGAATCAGTCTCTGGTTGAGGGACTTTAGGCACAATTTGGCAGAGCGCCTCTAACTTCTTTTCTGAAATCCGTCAGTGATTTAGTCATGGCCTACTATGGACTTCATCATCATATGGTTACTGACTACTATATCTTGTACTTTCCAAAAAGACTTTTTTTCTTATATGATAAATTCTAAGCTCTGTCTCCAACTATTGCTTTGCAATTTTAAGGTTAAATCACCTACCATCCTTCATAGAGAAGGCAATCCTTAAAAATATTGCCATTTGCCTGCAATCCCATAATGAAATATCTCTTCTCTTTTCCCTCCACAATCACTTACATAATTCATTTTAAGAGCTGTTTAACTCAGAAACATTCTAAAAATATATTTCAAAATTCTAAATTTAACCTATTGAAAGGTATCAGATGCAGTCTTTAGGTTCTATATCCTTATTTATAGCAATCATTTCTCCCAACATGAGGGTCAAAAGAACAAAGTTATTAGGGAAAATTTTGACATATATGAATGGCCAACATTTAGGCTAGTAATTCAAACATAACTATTGTTTACATACATTTCCTTATATAACATATAAGGGACTATAAACCAAAAAGTGTGCCTAAAATCAGGTCCACATGAGTAACATGACCACAGTACCAGTTAAAGGAATGATCATGGCAGTCATTTCAACCACTGACCTGGATCACAGAATGGCTGACTGTGCACAGTGACTCAAGTGGCCAGGCATGTAAACACAACCTAAATTCCAGTTGACATTGCACACATTTTTGGAAAAACAACTAAATATAACATGGGCTATAAGGCCCCCAAGATATTAATTTTTCCTTTTTTCACCACAGCTTTTCCAACTGGACTTTGGGAGTCTTGGTTCTAGGGCTGCTCTGCATTTCTTCTAAGAGGAACTCTTCCTGTCACTGTGCTGCCTTTTGAACCAAAGGCGTCACATATTTGTGCTTCTGAATCATAAGGACATGGACCTTCAGGAAAGATAGTCTACAGACTCAAAGGTTAAGTATATATATTTAAATGCCTGGTCTAAAAAAAAAAAAAACAACAACTTAAATTGAATAAAGAACCGTATTTGTTATTCTTTTTTGTTAAAAATGACTAGTCTATAAAAAGTTTCAGTAGATGGGGCCACGAAGTACACAACTGGGACTAAAGACAAAAATTGAAAATCTGAATTTCTAAAAAAAGTACTAGAATATATGAAGTTGGTGTTACTGTTACTATTTGGGGGGAGAAACACTAAATAGGTTTAAAAAAAGATAGGAATGAGAGATTTGTTTTATCTTAATAATCTTTTGCCCCACACAGAATCTTTAAAATAGACAATTATACAAAACTTATCTATTGTTCTTATGACATTTAAATAAGTTAACATGAAGCGGAAAACATGGTGTTAGTTATCTTCTTCCTCGTCCTCTTTAATTACTGGGGTACCTAAAATGAAAAAGAAAATTATTTCTGGTCATTCTAAACATATTTTTTAAATTCTAAATGAAAATATTGTTCTGTTAACCAGAGACGCTATGAATACCAGGAAGTGTGCCATAATAAAAATAATCTCATAAAATCATCTCTTTGATTTCAAATTATCCAAAAAGCTTCTCAGGAAACTTCTCAAATGGATTAATATAAGTATTTGTGAATATTTAGCTCCCCAAATGCAGAGTTGCAAATAAAAGTGCCTACAGGTGGCAGGCAGAAAAATAAAGCTCTATATACACACTAAAAACTGTATATGTTAAACACAGAGAAATATTCTTCATTTTTCACAATAAAATATGCAATCCCAGTGTTGCCAGAAATCTGAATTTTTATTTTACTCTCCCAAATATTAAACAATGGGAATAAACTTGAAAAAATAAAAATAAAAAGAATCAAAACACAGAAAACAAAACACATCTGCAGGCTATCACTGGGCCAAGAGCCACACATTTCTGAGCACTGGCATTTGAAGCCTGCCCACAATTTGACTCCAGTCCCATGTTCAGTCTTAACTCTTCAGCCAGTCACCTTCTGCACCAGCTAAACTGATCAGTTCATGGTCTACCAAACTCATCTTGCACACTCTTATCTCTGGATCCTTGGTCAAGGGTTCCTCCATTTTGGAATGCCCCCTACCAACTCTCCTTCCATCTAAATCCCACCCTTAATTAAAAACCAGCTCCAGGGGCACCTGGGTGGCTCAGTTGCCTAAGTGTCCAACTTCAGCTCAAACGATGATCTCACGGTTTGTGGGTTCGAGCCCCAGGTGGGGCACTGTGCTGACAGTTCAGAGCCTGAAGCCTGTTTTGGATTCTGTGTCTCCCTCTCTCTGCCCCTCCCCTGCTAGCACGCTGTCTCTCTCTGTGTCTCAATTATTGTTAAAAAAAATTTTTTTTAAAAAGAACCAACTCCAGTGCCTCTTCCTCTGTGATCCTTGCGAAATGAACATTTATGTTCTTTACAGTAGTGACTAGAGTTTCACCTCTCTGTACTCTGCACAGCATCTTTTCACAGGGGGAGAGTGCATAACATACAAAGTACACAAATTATGTAAGTGTACAGATTGATAAATATGTACAAAATGAACACATCTGGTAACCAGCACCCAGATTAGGTAGAGAACATTATTAGAAACCCCCCCCAAAACTTCCTCAAGCCCCCTTCCAGTCACTATCCCCCCACAAAAGGTATATTCTATCCTAATGTCTAACATCATAGGGTATTTGCCTGTTTTTGAAATTGATATGAATGGGATGGTGTAACATGCACTCTGTGTCTGGCTTCTTTTGCTCAACATTATGTTTGCGAGACTCATCTATTTGTGTGAAATTTGTAGTTCATTCATTCTCATTGCTGTTTAATATTACATTGTATGAATATGTCATAATTTATTCTATTGTTGATGGGCATTTGGGTTGTTTCCAATTTATAGCTATTAAAATAGCGCTGCTATGAACATTCTCATACCTATCTTTGGGTTAACAGATATATCCTTTTATTTGGGGTCTGTAGCTAGGAGAAAAAGTGCTGGGTCATAATGGATATGTATGTAGACCTTTTACAGATAATGCCAGTTCTCCAAAGTGGTCATACCAAGTTACATTACTACCTGGCAGGGTCTGAGAGTTCTAGTTGCTCCACATCCCACCAATATTTGGTATTGTCTTTTTCATGTTAGCTTTTTTTTTTTTTTTTTTTTTTTTTTAAGTAGGCTTCATGCCCAGCCACAAAGCCTAATGCAGGACCTGCACTCATGACCCTGAGATTAAGACCTGAGCTGAGACCAAGAGTCGGATGCTTCACCAACTGAGCCACCCTGGCATCCCCATTTTAGCTTTTTAAGATTCCCCAGTTTTGCTTATAAGCGACAGAAAAGAAGCAAAAGTAGGCAAGTTAGCAGCTGTAGCCATCTCTGTCCTGGTATCCTAACTAGCAGGATGGTTCTTTTGGGGCTGTTCAGATTGGTCTGAGGTCAATGCTTGGTCCAAAAGGCTATAATGTGGCTTGGTCTATTCAGGGTCTACATAAGGGGTCCATGTTTAAGGGAAGGGTTTTACTTCCTGTGTGCAATGCTGAAAGAAATAAGACAAATGACTTTAAATGGTTCTACAATCGAACCAAAAGTGAACATAGAAAAGCTGAAGTCCAAGACTCTAATGTTCCCACTCACTTTTTTCTATTTTATTTTTTAATTGTGAAATATTCATTCATACAAATACAGTGTAAATAATTTAAGGAATAACAAAGCCAATGATTCTATACCTACTACCAATTTAGGAAAGAGAGCATTACCAGTATTTTAGAAACCTGTTTGCCTCTTCCCAATTATTCCTATACCTCTCCATAAGAGATAATCTGCTGTCATTTTACCCCTAAATATGCATCCAGGAAAAAAAAAAAAAAAGAACATTCTGCATGATTCCATTAATACCAAACTCTAGAAAATTCAAACTAATCTATAGAGACAGAAAGCAACCACTAATTACCTTGGGAAGGATGATGGCAAGGAGCAGGAGGGAAGGATTACAAAGAGGCACAAGGATACTTTTTGGGGTGATACATATGTTCATTATCTTTTTCTCCCCAGCTTTACTGAGATATGACTGAGATAGCATTGTGTAAGTTTAAGGTATAAACATGATAATTTGATATACATATATATTATGAAATGATTACCACAATGTTAATTAATACATCGATCACTTCACATATTTACTTGTGTGTGTGTGTGTGTGTGTGTGTGTGTGTGTGTGTGTGTGTGGTGAGAACTTTTAAGATCTACTCTCTTAGCAACTTTCAAGTTGCTATTAAGACAGTATTGTTAACTACAGTCACCATCATATGTTCACTATCTTAATTGTGGTGATGGTTTCAGAGGTGTCTGTGTATATCAAAACATATAAAATAATTATCACTTTAAATATGTGCAATTAATTGTGTCAATTATACTTCAAGCAAGCTATTTTTTGGTGTAGGAAAGTAGATAGTTAAGAGCTTTTTACATCAATAATTCTCAACTGGAGGACAGGTGAGCACATACCTAGGGAGGCAATTGGAATCACCTATGAAACTTGTTCAAACTACAGAGACTGCTTCACTTTCTCCCTAGAGATTCTAATTTCTTTTTTTTTATGTTTTATTTATTTTTGAAAGCAAGAGAGACAGAGCATGAGTGGGGGAGGGGCAGAGAGAGGGGGAGACACAGAATCCAAAACAGGCTCCAGGCTCTGAGCTGTCAGCACAGAGTCCGACACCGGGCTCTAACTCACAGACCGTGAGATCATGACCTGAGCCAAAGCCAGACGCTTAACCGACTGAACCACCCAGGCTCCCCTCTCCCCAGAGATTCTAAACCATCCCTCCATAGGGGTGCAGTCCCATTTAAGAACAACCACTGCAGTAAGCTGGAATGGATAAAAGAATTGTGTACTGAGGCTTTGAAAGAGTTGGTAAGAGAGAGATGGAGAGACAAAGAATAGGAAGGATAGAATGACAATGCAGCAGGGGTGGTGAAGAGAGAAGAGAAGGTTTGAGGGACAAGGAAGCCTAAACCACAGACAACTAAGCCTTTTGTTTTGGATGTGAATATCAGTATGAGTATGGTGATGAAGAAAGTAGAGCAAATATGTGTGTGGTAAGTGATGATGACAATGATAATGATCATGTAGCTGGATATTACTTATTTGTTTCTTCTAAATATTTTCCTTTCCCTTCTTCAGTCAGGTAGCCTAGTCAGCTCTATGGATCACTGCTTCAGGAGCAATGTGGAAAGCAGAAAAAGACCATCAGACTTACTAGCTTTTGTCTCTGAAAAGCCTAAGAAGATCACTGAGAAGACAATTTGTGAGCAGATGCAGAATGATGTGGAAAAGAAGGAGGGGGATAGGGATTCTCCTCAGATTATTAAGGTTATTTCTCTGGGTTGGCAGAAAAGAGAGAAATCTGTAGGTACTGGAACATTTGGGATCCTAGTCTGGCTTCCTGATAGCACTGCTAGGAGGAGGTAAGATCCCGAGAAGTCTGGGACTATTATCATTTCTAGTTTTTAGATACAAAAGAACACGGTTTGGTGACATTCATTAACTAGCACAATGACAAAAGTCTACGAAGTGGTAGAATTGGAACTTGAACCTAGTCAGGGATATCTACTGACTTTGACACCTATCTTAAATATTGGTTAACTAAAATTAGGTGTGGGGGGAGGGTATAGAGAGAAAATGACAATTTTGATACAGCTGTGAAAAAGCAACTGCTTACCATTTATGTCTAATTATTCTGCAAAATAATACCCTTGTGACTTGAGAAAAGCCTGGCTTTCTTAAAAGTTTTTGGTCTAGGGATGATCTTACACCAGTCTAAGTATCCCAGGAGTTTTTCATCTCACCCTGGCCCAAACTCAGACTATAAAATTTCCTATGGAATGAAATGGCTTTGGAGATGAGAGACAACCTATCTTTTTTTCAGTTGTGCTCCTTTTCATAATTCCATGTCACAAATTCAATTCTTATGCTTAGAAATCATTGCCCCAAGCTGGCTCAGGGTCACTCACCATCCAGCTTTTTCAGTTTGGGAACTCTCTTGGTTGCTTCTTCAATCCAGTTCCCCTCCGCAGAATGTTTCTCTTCCAAGGGATTGCCTACAAACACCAGGTCTTCCAGGCACGGCAGTTCGGCCAGCTTCACAAATTCAGCTATAAGTACAAAGAATACATTCCATATGAAGATGGCAAGTTTTCCTGTTATAATTTTTGGGATTGAGGGGTTGAACTCCAGTACCAGTAGCCCTCAATTTATGACTATTCAGAACAATTTATTTAAGATTTTGAAAGAAGTAATAAGGCAAGCTATCCCATATGAAGTCTTTCTCTGAAGACAATATGGAAAGGGAGGGAAAAAGAAGACATACTTCCTCAACCTTTATGCTAGGCTAGAGGTGGGATAAGAAAAGGAAATGAGGTTCAGAATCACAAAGAACAAACTCTCCAGTGATAGGGCTTCTCTATGCTGTACAGTAGGGGTTAAGCCAAACTGCTGTTGTCTCTACCCATTCCCTCATCTGTGAATTTTTTTTTTTAATTAATTAGACTTCACACCCAACATGGGGCTTGAACTCATGAGCCTGAGATCAAGGATCACATGCTCTACTGACTGAACCAGCCAGACACACCTAATCTTTGAATTCCTAATGAATTCACACCTCTAGTGAAGAACTCATTACAACGTTCTATAGTTATTAGCTTATAAACTACTCTTTTCCACTAAGTTGTGAATTCCTTGAAAACAGAGACAGTATCTTATTCAATTATGTATGTTAAGAGCCTGGCATAGTTCATAACACTTAATAGGACTTTAGTAAATGCTGAATGAATAATATATTATAAAAAAGCAAAGTAATATAAATGGCAAATACATCTTCCACGCAAGATTATTAAATTAAACCTGATTCCTTTCAGCCTTTGGACAATAATTTACATTTTTTTCATGATGAATAATAAGACCAGGATCTATTCAGTTATAATCATTCTAAGTAAATATTTAAATGTAAATTTCAAGCATTTAGCATAAATATAGGAACTCCTATAGCTATTTCCCTGTGTGCTTAGAAAGAAATGTCCCCATTTTGCATCTCATTCTGTTTATTTTCTACAATAGGAGGTAGAAGGTTAACAAAGAGCCAGCTTCGGCTTACCCCAGTCTTTCACCAGGTTATTAGACATGTAGAGAATCTTTAATTTCTTCATTACATGGATCCCTTTCAACTTCTCAATAAAATTGTAGGAGATCCACAGTTCTTCTAATGTGTCCCCTACTGCTTCCTGAAAAAGAAAGCAATTTGGTTTATAAGCTTATTTTTAAACTTTTCCTTCTGTCCCCTTTCCTTATAAAAACAATGGCCTTCGAGAGAACCGAAACCCACCTGTTTACGGGCAGGAGAGCTGCAGGTTGTGTGGGAGTTTTTTTCTCATAAAGAAAGGCAAATAGAACATTTTCTTCCTCTCTTCAAACTGATCTGAACTAAAATAGCTACTGAAATTACCAAAAGGGGAAACAATAGCACTATTTTATCAGTTTTATTGAATGGCATAGATTTCAAATTATGTCTCTATACATTATATGGTTTGATCCTTATAACATTAAAGACAGGTAAAGCAGGTAATTTGATTTCTATTATAGAGAGATTAAAGGCATTTTCTAAGATCACAATGCTATCAAGTAATAGAGCTAAGTCTAAATTTCAGGGGTTTTGTTTCAATATTTATTATGGAAACTTTCACACAAAACAAGTTGAAAGAGTATTACAATGACTATCTATATATGTTCTACCTAGATTCTACCATTAACATTTTACTATCTTTTCCTATCATATATCTGTCCATCTATCCATCTGCTATCTATCAAGTCCTCTTATTTTTTTGATGTATAAAACTCAGTTTAAAACTCATAGTCTTGAGGTACCTGGGTGGCTTAGTCAGTTAAGCACCTGACTCTTAATTTCGGCTCAGGTCATGATCTCAGGGTTCATGAAACTGAGCCCCAAAGTCGGGCTGACAGTGACAGCATGGAGACTACTTGGGATTTCTCTCCCCGCTCTATCTGCCCCTCCTCCACTCCCGCTTGCATTAGCAAGCTCTCTCTCTCAGAAATAAACATGAAAAAAAAAAAAAACACCCATAGTTTTGCCATTACAGTATAAAGATTGTATCATATTGGCTCTTAAATGCTGGATATGATCAATGGTGGTACAAAGATTCTTCCTTCTTTTGTAGACATAAGACATAATGAAATGATTATTTCTTTTTTTAAAAAACAAAAGAATGCTAGGCAGGATCAATTAGATGCTCAATCCCCTCTTAGTCTAAAGAATTTACCTATATCCACATGGTAACATCTAGAATGTGGGGCCTAGGTCTATGTGCTGGTAACTGTCCTTTCAAAGACCATAGAGAGAATAAGTGTACCGGGACAAAGAACCTTAATACCTTTTCCATACTGGTGGAACCAGGGGAAGCTGAGAAGGGAGTGGCCTGAATTAGTCTGTGTGTCATTCCAACTCCCACAATTCATCATAGTTTCAACTTTCTGAATAAAAGAAACGATTTCAAAGTAAAAAAAAAAACAAAAACAAACCTTTTATATCAGTCCATTCTAGCACTCATATATCAGAACTTAGTGACTTTATCAAACCCTCTCATCTACTATTCTGATATCTTCTCCCAAAGGATCTAATTAATATGTCCTATATAGCTTTCAGAAGAGGGGAATCAGGCATCAGATAATTTAAACTTTATTACATACATTTTAACTCACTGCATCCCCATCCATTTCATGTGTCAAATTTAGAAAGTGTGAGGTAGCAGGGAAAATACTGATTAAACATGGATTAGAAGATTTAGACTCAATTCTGGGTCTGCCACTTAGTGCTGTTTTACATGTATATATGGGGCTCTTGGTCAATTTCACATAACCAATTTCACCAATTCTCCAAATAGCCAATTTGCTGAATTTACTCTTTCACTGATTTACTGAAAAACTGTTTAACTACTTACAAATTATAGCAGTTTGTTTTAGATAGGATAGGATAAGATAAAACAGGATAGAAATTCCTTTAGATAGGATAACTTTTGAAGATGTCTGTGATGTTTTATTCATTCATCTGAGTACTAATTTAGTTTTAGTTTCATTTTTAGCCATTTGGATGTAGCTGTTTTGCCATTGCCAAATTGCAGTGCATTTGGGGACTTTCTTCACTTGGCAATATGACTTTGTGGAATGAGAATTTCTTATGTATGCTAACTTACAAATGTACACATTTTGGATGTCCAGAGCGTAGTTCTTTCAATACATTTCAATCTCTTCCACGGTCTTTTGTACTTCCCTAAATGTAAGGATTCCCTAACCACTTTAATTAGATTACTATTTTTATGTGTTCTAATCACTTGAGAAGTGATTAGTGTCTAAAATATGAGGGGCACCTGGGTGGCTCAGTCGGTTAAGTGTCCAATTTTGGCTGAGGGCATAATCTCACAGTTCGTGAGTTCAAGTCCCACTCGGGCTCTGCATTCACAGTGCAGAGCCTGCTTGGGATTCTTTCTCTCTCTCTCTCTCTGCTCTTCTCCCACTTGCATGCTCTCTCTCTCTCTCTCTAAAAATAAATAAATAAACTAAAAAAAAATGAAACTGATTCTACCAAGATGGACCAACAAATCCAAAGCTGGGATGAAACAGCTGCAGTAAAATTAACACTAAATAAAACCTTAAAGAAAAAATTTAAAGGTGTTGAAACCATTCCAAGCAACACAATTTTTATATATTTCTAAGAAGGTAATAAAGATAAGATTTTGGTGAAGTAATATGGTGACTATCAATCAGTAAAACCTGGCTAAGTTTGTGTAAATCAGTTCAGTGAAATCTGTCATTCAATAAATAATAAATTGGCCCTTTGGAGAACTGAACATTGAGTAAACAGACATTTAGCAAACTGGTCTGCTTCTGCATATGAACAAATCACTCCTCCTCCTAGTTTTTTACTCTGTAAAAGGAGGAGGTTGGCATATTGAGATACCATCTCACACTCATTAGGATGGCTACTATCAAGCAAACAAAAAATAACAAGTGTTGGCAAGGATATGAAAAAATTGGAACCCTTGTGCATTAGTGGTGGGGATGGGATGTAAAATGGTATAGCTGCTACAGAAAATTGGTGGTTCCTTCAAAAATTAAAAATATATGATCTAGCAATCCCACTTCCGGGCATATACCCAAAAGGATTGGAAGCAGAGTTTTGAAGAGAGATTTGAACACCCATGTTCACAGCAGCATTGTTTACAATTGCCAAAAGGTGGAAACAACCAAAGTGATCATTGATGGAGGAAGAGATAAACAAGATATGGTATATACATTCAATGGAATATCATTCATCCTGAGAAAAGAAAGACATTCTGATAAATGTTACAATATGAATGAACCTTGAGGACATTATGCTAAGTGAAATAAGTCAGTCACATGAAGACAAATACCATATGATTCCATTTTCATGGGGTACTTATGGTAATCACATTCAGAGAGACAAAAGGTAGAATGGTGGTGCTAGAGCTGAGGGGATGGGACAAAGGAGTTATTGTTCAATGGGTACAGAGGTGCAGTTTTACCAGCTGAAGAGAGTTGTGGAGATGGACAGCAGTGATGGTTGTACAATGATACAATATACTTAATACCATGGAACTGTACTTAAAAATGGTTACCATGGTAAATTTTATGTTATGTGTATTTTACCACAATAAAAAATAAAGGAACAAAAATGAGAAGGCTAGACAAGAAGTTCTCTAAGATCCCTTTCAGCTATTAAAGTTTATGATTCTTTGAGGTCAACAAACCATTATGAATATTGAAAACAAAAAAAATAAAAAAGTGTCTGTTCTGTAAATAATATTACATTGGAGGTTATAGGAGTGGGAAAGGTTTAAGGGAGTGCTGTAAAACCTCCATTTTGGACCACATAAAATGATGATTATTGTTATTGTTTGCCTTTTGTATAAAGTAATGAATTCAGATATCATAATGTTGCTGAAAGTCTTTAGGAAGATCTGATTCACAAACAGTTAAGAAATGTTTGTAGGCAGTTGATTATAAGCATACAAAAACAAATAGATTTTATATTATAAACAGGAAGTCATTAGAGAGAAATTATTTCATTCATCATAGCAACAAAAACTATAAATTACTTAGGAATACATTTTTATAAGAAGTGTACAGGCCTTACAGGAATTGAAACTATAAAATTCTACTTAAAGTTTAGACATAAAAAATCTGAATAAATCTGCCTGTAAGGGAAGCCTCATTATTATAAAGACCTCAATTTTCTCCAATCAATCTATAAATTCAGTGGAATTATAAGACTTCCAGTCTTATATACTTTGCTTTTTTTTTTTCACTTAACAACATACCTTGCAAATTATTCCATCCAGCATGTATAGGTACGTCCTACCTCATTTTTCCTCTTGATATATTTTATTTATTTATTTATATTTATTTAGTTAGCTATTCTACAATTGATATACCCCAAGATTGTTGACGTTTTTTATACAAGCTTTGTTGCAATGAACATACTTGGTCCAACATCTTTGTTCATGTATGTGAGGATGAAAAAGTCCTAGATATAGAATAGTTGGTACAAAGTAAATACACATTGAAGACTGTGATAGCTATTGACAAACTTCTGGTCTCAGCAACAATATTTAAAAGTGCCTGTTCACTATACTTGGGCACTTTAGATAACTACCTGAGCCCGAGTATCTTTATTCTGAACTGAGGATTTTTTTAAATCTTTAAATGAGGACATTATCTACTTGTGAATTTCAAATGAAACAATGCATGTAAAGAGTCTGTTACATAGCTAATAAATGTTAACAACAGCAATAATAGTAATAATATTCTCAACAATGGATAATTATTAGGAATATTGATAGCGCCTAGAATGCAGTAAGAAAAAATAAAGCCAATAGAAAAATGAGTAATAACTATGTTTGGTCAATTACCAAAAGAGGAAACGTATAACAAATATATAGGAGGACATTCAAGGTCACAACCAACTGAAGAAAACAGATTAAAACAACACAATACTCCATTTTTGCCTATCATATTGGCAAATATTAAAAATATGGATTGGGGCACCTGGGTGGCTCAGTTGGTTAAGTGTCTGACTTTGGCTTGGGTCATGATCTCGCAGTTTGTGAGTTCGAGCCCTGCGTCAGGCTCTGTGCTGACAGCTCAAAGCCTGGAGCCTGCTTGGGATTCTGTGCCTCCGTCTCTCTCTCTCTCTCTGTCCCTCCCCCACTCACACGCTGATTCTCTCCCTCTCTCAAAAATAAATACACACTAAAAAAATCAAAACATATATGGATTAAAGGGGCACCTGAGTGACTTAGTCAGTTGAGCATCCAACTCTTGATTTCAGCTCAGGTCATGATCCTAGGGTTGTGGGATCCAGCCCCACGGTGGGCTCTGCGCTGAGCATGGAGCCTACTTGGGATTCTCTCTCTCTTTCTCTCTTTGTCTCCCACTCCCGATCTCCCCCACTCTCTCTCTCTCCCCAAAAAAGAAATGTAAAAATATGGATTAAAAAATATGGATAAATGGGTATTGAGGGTGGAGGGAATAATCCTCATCCATATACCATAGATGGAAGTAGAAACTAGAATTAGCACTGTGAGAGCAATTTGAGGCACCCATCAAAAATTTAAATGCATGCAAATATCCTCACCATTTCTATTTTTAGCAATCTAGCCTCTATCAACATTCAAATAACTAATGAAGGTTATATGTGTGAAGATGTTCATTGCAACATGATTTGTAACAGCAAAAAAAGAGAGAGAGGCACACCTTCCGCAAGAAAATAATCTAAATGCTCAGCAGTATAGGAATAGTTAAATACATTGTTATATAAAAAAGAATGCATTAAATTTGCATGTTTTGACATGGAAGGATATTTATGATATGCTACTGAATGAAAAAGCAGAAAAAATATGGCCTGTATATTATCAGTACAAACATATATAACATATATATACATACATACACATGCACACAGATATCTATAGGTAAAAAGAGGAAAGACTTTCAGGGTATTGCATATATTTATGAAATGCTTGACTTGTTTTTTATAATTAACATGTATTACACTTAGAATTGATAGTTTTTGTAATTAGTAATATATTGAGTCACTCAGTATATTATTTACAGAGTGCCTATTACATATATCAAGCACTAATGTATATGTTCATGAACAAAACTAAAGTACTCATTAGGATTTGTGTGTGTGTATTTGTGTGTGTGTGTGTGTGTGTGTGTGTGTGTGTGTGTGTGTGCATGCGTGTGACATGACAGAAAGAGACAAAGACAGAAAACAAATAAATGAGAATTTCAGATAGTAATAAGAAAGTTGAAAAAAATTATAAGTGGCAAGAGTTTTTGCCCAGAGGGCTACTTTAGATATATGGCAGCTGGAACACTGTTGTGGAAGTGACATCTAAGCTGAAGTGTGAAGGTTAAGAAGGAGTCAGTAACGTAGAAGTCCAAGGTAATAGAGTTTTTAAGGCAAAAGAAATGGGAAGTAGAAAGGTCCTTCAGGTGGGAACAGACTTGGCATGCTCAAGGAGGAGAAAGACCAGTGGCTAGAGATTACCAACTAGGAAGAAGAGTAACATGGAATGACATCTGAAAGGAAGGCAGAGGCCAGATCATATACACAAATGGGCTTGCAATGCATCCCGTCAGTTTTCCTAAGTAGTTTAAAATAGACCCTTGTCCTTCAATTTTACATTCCATGTTTCAGGCAGCTGAACACTGCCTCCTATTTGGCTATTACAGCTGCCTCTGTAATGAGGGGGTGGCTATTTCAGCCTGTGTGATTTGGGAGGTTACTGTTGAGAAGCACTGCAGTTTCAACCCCACTGGTTCTTGGGAAGCACAACCTAGGCTTACTGGGGGTGGGGCTGGGAGTGGGGAGAAGGCCAGAGTCATAAAAACATTGGGAATGTTTATAAAATTATTTAACAATATACACTTTTTAAAAAATTATTATCTGTTTGGGAACAAATACAAGAAAAAGACATTAGCTTTGTCATTCCCAAAACTGCCTAATTTTACAATATTGTTTCATCTCAACTTCTCTGCAAGGAAATTCAAATGGCCAAAAAATTCCCTGTCAAAAACTTAAAAAATTTTTAAATGCCCAAGTTTGATAAGGGGAAATGGGAACCCTCATACATTACTGGTAGGAATATAAACTGTTAAAACTTTCCAAAGGGTAACTTGGTAATATGCCACAAAAGCCTTAAAAGAAATTCATACCTTTTGACCCAGCAATTCCATTTCAAGGAATTTATCCAAGGAATTATTCATAGATGTGTGCAATAATATAGCTAAAAGGAGATTCATAATAGCATTGATTATAATAACTCCAAACTGGAAATAAATAATGAGTAATAAGTAACTGATTTAAAAAATTATGGTATAAATATTAAAACAGAATATTATGCTATCATAAAAAAAGGGGTATGGTTGAAAATTATTTTAAAAACTTAAGTTACATCCTCTGATCAAAAACCTCCAGTGGCTTTGTAAGCCATTTGGAAAAAAAAATCTAAAATCTTATCATTACCTGTAAGACCCAATGTAGCCTCGTTCCTGGCTCCCTTTCCAAGCTCACTGAGGGCAATTCCCTACCCTCATTCAACTCTTCTGCTCTAATTCAAGCATATGGAGCAGCTTCAGTTTCAGGACATTTGCACTCGTCCCACTTCAGTCCGGAGTACCTGTCCCTTGGTCAGCCCTATAGCTTTTTTCCTCATTTCCTGTCAATCTATGTTCTCGTATATGCCTTGCTTTTCTTCATTGCATTTATCACCACCTGTATTATACAATGTATTGCATATGCATTATACAAATATTTTCTAGACTGTCTACCTCTACTGTAATGGAAGTTCTAGGAGAGCAAGGACTTCATTACATATTCTTCTGTATCCCTAATGCCTAGAACAGTGCCTGGCTTAAAGTAGGCATTCAGGAAATATATTTGAATGATTTTGTTAAATGAATGAATGACATGAAAAAAATGATTTTTACATATTAAGTAAAAAAAGAGAGCAAAACAATATGTATAGTATGATTTCATTTTCTACATACCCATCAAAGAATAGAAAAAAGACAAGAAAGATATCAATCAAAATGTTAACAATATTTACACTGTCAGTGGCTTATAGGTACTTTTTATAGTTGCTTTTTGATTTTGCAAAGTTTCTGCAATGAACAAATATTACTTGTATATTAAGGGGAAAAGTGCATGCTTTTTTTAAAGAAATAAATAACAACCTACCAGTCCATTTAAGTTCTTTATGTTGTTTCTTCCTAAAGACAATATTCTCAAGTTTTCTGTAGTAGAAAAAAAAAACAATTTTTGTTTATGAGAATCATATTACAACTGTTGTAAATCTAGTAAAATAAAGTGTTAATAACTTTTATATAATAAATATACTGATCTAATGAGTTAGAAAGGCTGTATTAATAAAGTGGTGATCAAGTAGGAAATAACATTGACCTATAATCTAAGGTAAACACTATAATTTCACATCATGACAATATTAAATTTACAAATGGTTAGCTATTTGGAACACATGGTTTTAAGTTGCTGGCAAGTGGGGCGCCTGGGTGGTACAGTCGGTTGAGCATCTGACTTCGGCTCAGGTCATGATCTCTCGATTGGTGAATTCGAACCCTGCATCGGGCTCTGTGCTGACAGCTCAGAGCCTGGAGCCTGCTTCAGATTCTGTGTCTCCCTCTCTCTCTGCCCCTCCCCTGCTCACACTCTGTCTCTTTCTCTCAAAAATAAATAAACATTAAAAAAATTAACATAAACAAACAAACAAATAAATAAATAAATAGCTGGCTAGTATAAATATTATAGGGATAAAATAAGACTAAAGAATATTTTAACTTCATCTTTTTTTACATTTATTTATTTATTTTTGAGAGAGAGAGAGAGCACAAGTGGGGGAAGAACAGAGAGAGAGGGAGAGAGAATCCCAAGCAGGTTCCACACTGTCAGCTTAGAGCCTGATGCAGAGCTCGAACTCATGAACTGTGAAATCATGACCTGAGCCAAAATCAAGAGTCTGACTCAACCGACTGAATCACCTAGGTGCCCCAAGAAGCTCTGAACTTAAAATTTTTGAAGCATATATATATTTCAAATCTACTATAGTATGAAGACTCACGCTAGAAAATAGGAACATATTTATGCATAGCACACCTCACTCCAAAAAGGATTAAAAGTGAAATCAGGGGTGCCTGGGTGGCTCAGTTGGTTAAGCAACTGTTCATGAGTTCAAGCCCTGCATTGGGCTTTAGGCTGCCAGTACACAGCCTGCTTCAGATTCTCTGTCCTCCTCTCTCCCTGCCCCTCCGCTGCTCACATGTGTTCTCTCTCTCTCAAAAAATAAATTTTTTTTTAAAGTGAAATAAAATGAATTAGTATTTTAAAAATCTTTTGCTTGCAATCTTTTAAAAAATTAGGTTGTGATTTGGTTTAAAAATGCTTATTTGTATTTTTTAAAAGGTTGGTTCTATTTATGTATCTATAAGCTATTTCTGGAAGAAAAAAAGAAAGTAGAAACAGTGGTTGCTTTAGGGAACTGAGAGTCTATGGTCAGAGGAAAATTTATTTTCCACTGTACCCTTTTTTGTACTGTTTGCATAAAACCATGTGCATGTATTATTTTTGAAAATAAAAAAAAAAAGATTCT